AATGAGCTTAGTTATTGGTGAACGAATTAATTTTTTATTTTGATTTTCAATCGCAGGAAATTGATATAATAAGTATATGAGTGATTTTGTAAGGTGCTGCAGATAGCAGCGTTTCCTTCACATGATTCAGAAGGGGTGAAAATGTATTTGGGTGCTTAAAATATTTGAAGTCAATTAGAAGGTAATGTGAAAAAGAAGTGACCCTCAACCGTACTTTCATCATGGTTACACTGGTAAAAAAAAAGCACAGTAAAATCAAATATTTGTATAATTTATTTAATAAATCATTGATTTAAATATAAACAAGAAAGAACGCAAGGTCGATGCCAACGACAGTCAAATACCCCTTACTAAGCTGAAGAGAGTGCGAGAGAGATAAAGATATGCTTGCTGTAGCTACCTAGGGCTACCACCTAGCTAGCCCATACCGCCCCTAGCGTATTAGTGAAAACAGCTGATTTTCTACATGAAGTGTGCAATCCCAATTGTATTTGGAAAATATTGACTATTACTTGGTTATAACTTTTTAATGAATGGTCAGATTTTAATGATTTTTGGCATGTATATGGGTATTTATATTAAGAACAAAGACGGATTCCAGCGTTATGGGCGTTTGTGCGCGTTCGAGTAGGCGTGGCACTCTGCTGAAACAACTTTGGGCTGCGTAATGATCTCTAGAATCTGTATGCCTAATCCCAACTTTCTAGGCTTTGTAGTTTCCGATACCACAGCGCTCATACGGACGGACAGACGGCCATGTCTAGATCGGCTCGGATAGTGATCCTGATCAAGAATATATGTACCTTAGGGGTCGGTAACGCTTCCTTCTAACTTTTACATACTTTCCAACGAATCTCAAAAACCCTTTTACTCTACGAGTAACGGGTATACAAATATTGTTTTAATTATTGCCAAAGCCTGCTTAACTTTTAAAATAACAAAGCGAATGGAGCGTTTCTCAGCACTTAGATAGGTTTTTATTAAAAAAATCAATTTTAATTTGCACTTTTACACAATCTTCAAAAACGTGTATGCTAGACAGGTTTAAAGTTACCGTCTAGCTAAACCAAACAAGCCACATTTGAAAAAATTCTATGGTAAAATAGATTTAATTTTTTTATTTGGAATATCCGAAAATGAGATTTTATTTTGATTATCAATACCCCATGCTGATAAAAAGTTATGAGCACATAAAGTTTTCTCCGCTACGTCGATAAAGCTACGATCTTAACTTCTAAGTTATGATTCCGTATGACACGCCATATGAGTTAAGGCGATTACAATATCCTGTAAGGGCAAACACATCACGTTTGTGGCATTAAATTTGAAGAAACCATGTTTTTCACATGGTCAACATTAATTTGCTTGTTTCAGAGTCAGTACCCCAGCCGATTGTTTATTTAAACTCCAAATGGAAAAACATAAAATTAGTTTTTATCCAAATTATATTTTCAAATATCTGCAATTAATACCCGTTAAACGCTGTTAACTCGGAAACTATAAAAGCTATTGACGAGACTAATACATTTCAGTTAAAGTTTTTATCTAGCATGAAAATTGTGGGCGCTACAGGCTTGGACGGTTTGTGGGCGTTAGAGTGGGCGTGGCACCCTGCTGAAACAAACTTGCGCTGGGCAGGAATCTCAGGAATCTAAATGCCAAGTCCCAATACCCTAGCTTTTATAGTTTTCCGAGTTCATACGGACAGACGGACATGGCTAGATCGACTCGACTAGTGATCCTGATCAAGAATATATTCCCCCAAAAAAAAATCAAAAGCTTACACTTAATAAGCGTTGTGTTAAAAGTATACTAAAGTAAGTATGAAAATGTAAGTATTAACTCAACACTAATTAGTTTCAACTGTATACTTTGTAGGGTAAGTGCTCTACCAAAAAGTATAAAGCGTAAACCTGTATTGTTATCTTTAAACTAGTCATATTCGACTATTTAGTTTATTATTTATACTTGTGGCTTCAAAAAACTTTATGTAGTATAAAGAAATATAGTTTCAAGTTATTACAAATAGTTTCATGCCAACACTTTATAGTATTAAGCTTATACTAATTGTTATATGAGTGAGACTCTGTAGCATAAATTGAATGCTGAAGATAAAATAGTTTTTCATAGTGTGAAACTAGGACAACAGCGATTATTCGAACATATATTTTGGTGTGAAACCAGGACAATATCGAAATCAATGACATTCAAAACCTTATTGAAACATTAAACGAAAAAAGTGTCGAGTCAAACTCCCCATTCAACCATTTATAATGGCGTTGTTGTGGGCGTAGACATTTCCAATTTGGTTGATTTCTATGTTAGCTTTGGAAAGTCCTTTTATAAGTTTAACTCTTTCATTATTGCACTAACTTTTAAAATTTATCAAGTATTTGGTCGACAGTACCCAAATGAGTCCAATGCTTTTCTATAATATGAAAACTGAAGATTTATACAAAATGTAAATACTTTGTAAAATATTTTTAATTTCAAAATTTATTCATATCCTTTTTAATTTTAAGATCTTGAAATATTCTGTTATTAGTTAAGTCTTATATTTTTAATTTCTATATTTAGTTCTTTTATAATAATAATACCTAGCCATTAACAATATGCGTTGCTTTAAGTGTTTTAAAGAATTTTCTGACCTCAATAATTTATGCTTACACTTTAAGGGAAATTGATTTATACATATGTGTCGAAGGCAATTGCAACCAAAAGTATTCTTGTTTTCAATGATTTAAAGCCCATCTCAGAAGGCATTTAAATATAAGATCTGTCCAAAACTTGACCAATACAGGGATCGCACAGTATAATTGTCAGGGTAATTCAGGGACCACAACATTGAATATTTTGACAGTAATGAAGAGTTGGACGATATTCCGAGTGGCTCTCAAAATGCTTTCCCTGAAAGTGCTGAAACTAGTTTAACACAAGGAAGAACGCTATAGTCGAGTACCTCGACTATCAGATACCCGTTACTCAGCTAAAGGGACCAAAGGGAAATGGAGATATGCAAGCAGCAAAGCGAGATTAAAATGCGCCACCTATCGGCGGTATAAAGATATAAGCGTTATGGGCGTTAAAGAGGGCGTGGCAAATTTTTTTTGGATCAATCGATAGGTATTGACGACACCAATACATTTCAGTTAACATTTTTATTCTAGCATCAAAACTGTAGGAGTCACAGTTTTGGGTGGTTTGTGGGCGTAAGAGAGGGCGTGGCACTCTGCTGAAACAAACTTGTGCTGCGTAAGAAGCTCGGGAATCTGCACGCCAAATCTCAATAGCCTAGCTCCCATAGTTTCCGAGATCTCAGCGTTCATCCGGACAGACGGTCAGACAGACAGACGGACATGGCTAGATCGACTCGGCTATTGATCCTGATCAAGAATATTATACTTTATGGGGTCGGAAACGCTTCCTTCTGTCTGTTACATACTTTCCGACGAATCTAGTATACCCTTTTACTCTACGAGTAACGGGTATAATTATCGTTTGAAGAAATGATAGCTAGCTTCGAATAAAAAGTATTAGGAGTATGCCAGCAAGCACTAACCGAATTGCATTCTAAAGATAATTTTTGTAGAAAAGATGTTTTAATTGTTCAGAACGTCATTGGAAAAATCAATTAGTCCATAGTGAATTATATTAAAGACTTACTTTTAAATGAAATTTCTGCCGAAATTCGGTCTCAAGCAAGATTGTTTTTGGACTTTTGTTCCAACCCATTTAATAGCATTGGTACGGAACACAAGTTTTCAAAGAAACTATATAGTGACAAAAGTTTTGAAATGGCTAGAGTATTTAACGTGAACAATAAATTAGAGGATACGAATAATAAGCCAACTCTTTCTCCATCGAATATAAAGGGCCAATTCAATTCAGACTAAAAAAATTTTTCGACCTTACTTTAGACCTTACGAAAAAATGTGACAGCGACACCCACATAACCCATTATGTACATGGAACTTTTTTCAGAAATAAAAAGTTACTCACTTCGAAAGCAAAATTGTTATACCAATATTTTTATATTTTGACGGGTTTGAAGTGAATAACCCGTTAGGAAGCCATGCGTCGATAACATATGTGGGGTGTATTACACTATGCCAGTTATTCCTCAGCACACACTTTCAAAATTGGATTATGTTTTTATTGATGCATATTTTAAAAGCAAGTACGCCAAAAAATATGGCAATGACCCGTTCCTAAAGCCTCTAGTTGACGTTTTCAAAAGTCTGGAAGAAACTGGAATTGAAATAAGTACAAACGAAGGTCCGATAAAAGAATACTTCATAACCTCCAATATTCTTGGGACAATTTGGGCCAAAACGAAGTACTAGGTTTCACGACTTCTTTTAAATTAACATTTAATTGTCGATTTTGTACACTTTTTAAGCCAAACACTGCCAAGGAAGTTGTTGCTTTACCACAGCATTTAAGAACTAAAGAAAATTATGAGGACGCTTTGGCCTTAAATGATTTAAAAGCAACAGGTATTACAGCTGTATTTTTAATTTTATTAAATATTTTCATGTTACGGACAACTTTATTGCAGACATGCATGATTTGTATGAAGGTGTCTGCCGATACAGTATCTGCGATGTTCTTTTGCACTTAATTTTAAAGCATAAATTATTTAGCTTAAATACCTTTAATTTTAGAAAAAATCTGTTCGATTTAGCAAAAAAATATATAGATTTCGGGCTTCATCGCCTTAAAAATATTAAAAATAATAATGAAAACGCTAATTTTTACTTTACCTTGATTGTTTGATGGTTTGGCAATATATGACCACATTAATAAAAATTATTGATATTCTTAAAAGTGATGTTTAT